TGCTCCTAGTAGTACGGCCAGGAGCCCCTAGTAGCGTCCTTGCTCCTGCTAGTAAGGCCAGGAGGTTGTAGTGGCGTCCTTGCTCCTCGTAGTACGGCCAGGAGCCCCTAATAGCGTCCTTGCTCCTAGTAGTAGGGCCAGGAGCCCCTAGTAGCGTCCTTGCTCCTAGTAGTAAGGCCAGGAGCCCCTAGTAGCGTCCATGCACGCGTTCTCCGTTAGCTGAGTGCATGTCTTTTGCCTAAGACACCTTCCATCTCCTCAGCAGGTCAAGACACAACTAGCAACATGGGGCATGTCCAATTTCTCAACCCAAACCCATCATTCCTTAAGAGGCCGGCATGGAACAATGGCAATGCTTCTCGGAATCTCGATTGCTTCCAACCTTGGTGAAGGGCTGGACCACGAGCAAGCAAACACAAAAGTCGGAATGGCACGGTTGTTTCACGAACTGCCAATAATCCCACATGGGGGAAAGTTCTTTGCTGGGCTTCAGGACGCACAAATGCCAAGGCTTGGATTCCCTTCATGTAGAACTTGTCACCACGCTTGCGACACACGGGGACGACCTGCCAGCATTCCATTCACCATGGATCGATGAACATGCAATCCCCATCAGCAACTACATCTGCACATTTCCCACTTCCCACTTTGCAAGATGACCGAAATAACAGTACAAACCTGGCCTGCTCTAGGTAGTCTGAAAGCCTGGGCACCCATGTTCGGAGACCTTTGAGTGATTGGCTCACACTGGTTCCTTTGTCTTTTTCATTTTTAGGCATTCAGGCACACTTTGGCAAGTCTGGGTGCTGCATTTACAGCATGGCTCGCCCGCACCTGTGCCTGCGCGGCCTGCGCGGCCGCTGGCGCGGCCTCCGCATAGAACCCTTTGGGCACTTGCGGTGGCCGCGAGGATCCAAACGTGCCAAAACCATTGAACGGGGATTCTTCAAGGTCAAACGGTCGTGGCATGACCTTCGGCACGCGCTGGAGTTCTTGATCCCGCTCACAGGCTCTGACTCCGGTCACCACCTCTTTCAAGCCTCCAAGACGATCTTGCAAGGCCCAGGCATGATGATGCTCTTGCTGCAACCCTTGGAAGGTGCTTCTCGTGGAGTAGTCCGCTTCTCCACGAAGCGCTTGCATCTTGACATCCACATCCATTACCGCACGGGCTGTACGTATATCCGCCGACGTCAAGCGACTTGCCAGCTGTTCCCGTTGGGCTGCCTCTACTTCCATGATGCTGTAGATCTCCGCGCGGATCTCTTCGAGTTGAGCCTCGACATCTTCGCGCTTCTTGTGGGCATCTTTCGCCCGGGCTTCTGCAGCCAACAAAGCAGCTTCACCCTGCTGCCGCATCTGCAGAACGCGCCTTTGAGAGAGCAACTCATCATCTTCCATCACCTGCATATGCTGCCCGTGCATCTCCTTGAGATGAGCACACTAAAGCACCACTAGGGATCCAATTGGGTTGCGCGGCGAAATCAAACTCAAATCGGTTTTCTTGCGTCTTTAAAGGGGATCGGGTGAATTAGACTCTGAAGAATTCCGGGCAAAGAGTCTCGTGATTCGGCAGGAGCTGCCCAACCAAAAATGAAAACGGCCTTGTTGCATCTGAGAAACTTCTGCAGCGGCCTCCGTCAATGAATACCGAGTCTCTGCCTGCAAAACTGTCATCAAGCATAGGCCACCGTTCTTAACTACCTTCGAATGTCACCGTGTGGAAAAAACACCAACTGTCTCAAACATGGCCAAGCTTGCCAAAGCCTACCTCTCAAAAAGGGGTCAAGCCGGCAACACAAGGATAGAGGTATCCGAGGTATCCCGTACTTGGTTCGTCCGCAAACCAAACAGCGCGTTCGTCCATCCTTCTCTATGCGCAGCTCCATCTGTTTCAGCCGCTCTGCCCTTGTCTGCTCTATCTCAGCGACCATGCGAGTCAGAACCCCTACCATGGCTGCACTTGAGTCAATTGTGCTCTTGAGCCTCAGTAAACTTCCCTAACAGTCCCACGATGTGGACATGCTCCTTCAGCCCGCTTCCCAAACGATGAAGCAACGAACGAAACAGGTGCCAGTTTCCCCTCAAGTCTGAAGAAACATGGAGTGCGTGCACTCAGAAGCGCTTGGACTGTGCTTCTGGCTTGTTCAATCGATACAGCTGAATGCAGTTGTCGAAGAGTGCAAAGAAAGTGTTGAGGGTCTCCTGTCCAGCTGTCCAGCAAGAATCCCAGGACAACGCAAGCACAACCCAGAGTCATGATGTCGCCTCATCGTCAATTCCTCGCCTTGGTTCTGCATGGCTTTAGTGGCTTGCTTCTTGCGCACGACAGTTTTCTTCTGTTTTCTCTACACCTCTGTCACTGGCTTCTGATGCCCTGTAGGCAAACCTTTACGTTGCTAAAGTCCCAACTCTCCAACCAGCTTCTGATATCTGGCTTCAAGCTTCTTCTCGTTCTCTAGTTGCTCCTCGACCTGGGGAAAGCAACAGCCCATCTTCTGGCGCGAAGCAATTTGCACATTTGTGTACAACCTCGGCTGACAACGACAAAGCACCCCACCCGTTCAGGATCATCGTCGTCGTGCTCTAGCTGCATGACGTCAAAGTTGTCATCCATGACCTCACGAGTCTGGAAGTATTGTGCGACGATTTACGTGCAAAGCAATGGGCTCCAACCTACTAGCGTATTTCGAGGGCCAGTAGTTGCAACAATATCTTGAGGCGGTTGCGTCCGCCCCAGGCATTGACTGCTCCTCCTCCTTGGTGAGTGCCCTGCTTGAAGGGTGCGGTCAAATCCAAAGCACATGGGAGGCAACCCTGTCAACCGAAGCACAAGGCAGAGTATGACACGTTCAATCGACTGTCAGAAGCCTTCTTTTTGCGAAATGGGCACAAATTGGGACGGCCTTCGGGTGTAAATACCAAAAGGGTCCAAAAGGCAGTACGAGTAGCAAACCACATATACGGCACGTGCAAGCTTGTCATAACGGGAACCTTAGGACGATTTAAACCTCGTGGAGCACAACCAAGTAAACACAAGGAAGCAACACTCCCAAATGGCTCCCTTGACATTCAGACCCAAAGACAAAAAGGTTCGGGTTGCCGCTGCACTACACTCTATGTAGATTCCAGGTTGTATGCAAGTGACGCCTAGCCTCCACTTCACTGCTTTCTTCTTGCACAGGTTGACCACCTGTCACAAGTACTTCAAGTTTCACCCCAATTTGCTTGGAAACTGTGCCAAAGTCATCCAAACCTGAATCAATGGCATTACCCGTCGGCTGTAAGGCAAAGGCCAATGCTTTGGTCGCTCCCACTTCGATTTGCCAGTCAGACCTCGTTCTGCCGAGCATCGCAAACGGTTTCATCGGACCAGGTGTTGACTCCTCAGGCACCCGCTCATCAACATTCACCTCGGGATGAATCGGGCGCAAAACGAGTGGAATGAAAAATGGCCAACATGGCTACAAGGTAGACGTTGGCCTGACCCATGCACATGCACTATGGTTGAGGTGTCCACCTTCCCGCAGAGCTCGTGATCGAAAACACTGCCTCTCCAACAAATGTGCGCAGCAAATGGACTTCAAATGCTGTTCAGTCTTCGTCACAACAACTGAGAGTTGAACGGCCAGAAACAGAAACCTCAAACATAGTTTCATGTCGATTCATCTTGTTTGCAGAACGGTTTGCATAAAGTGATACATACATACCGTGTGTATGTATTGTATACATATATATATATATATATGCATCTGTGTGTGTGCGTGCATATTTAGGAAAAAGTTGTATATATATATATACAAAAGCTTGCGCTGTCTCCGCTCTGCTTTTCTCCGTTGCTCTACAAACTGCATTTAAAACTTAAACGAAGAAATTTCCGCAAAAGGACTTGGGGCGCATCATCAAAGTGCACTTCTCTCTGGCGAGAGCCGAGAGCCCGCTGCATCCCTGCTTCCTCGGGCCCTGTGGCTCACATTTCATCTCATGTTGCTCATGCCACCGTGGGAAGCCTTTGGAGTTTGTTCCGAGTCGACTTCTGCGCAGTGATGGACGTGCTCACTGGTCTGCTCCGATTAATCGCTTCGGATCCCTCATCGCTTGGCCTTGAACTTGTGGATGCCATCAGCTGGCGGCGGTGGAGTTTGACACCCTCGACGTAGGGGTGGCTCCTCAAGTGCATCAGCATTGTCCCACAGCCTCAGTGGAGCGGTTAGGAGATGTTGGGGTCGAAAAGAATGCTTTCATCACTCCCAAGGACTTTGATCCTTAGATTCCTTAGATCCAGGCCCACAGGCCGTGGTCTCCACTTCGACAGGTTGCAAGTCGCCAGGGATGCTCAGAAGGCTGCAGTCTGACCCAAATTCACTGAGGCCTACCGGTGAGATCGACCCAACGTTGGCTTCAAGTTGATGATGCCCAAAATCAGATAAGCCTCCCAAGGATGCAAAAAGCCTCCCCTCCAACGTGTCAGAGAGGCCCTATTCTTCCCTGCCTTCCAGAACTTCCTCCGCCCGAGAAGCAGGGCAGCCTTCGAGGAAGAACCGGTGGAAGAGGGCCTACAATTCTTCCAGCGCTCAAGTGGATAGAAAGAAAAGTTTTGCTCCAATCAACCCCGTGCTCTCCATCCACGTGCCCTATGCACAGCACTGCACAAGTGGAATGGCCTGGGGAGCACTGATTCGCTGCACGGGGTTGAGTCGCATAAATGCCCATACCAGCTCCTTCGCTGCGTCGGATCGATCGCCCAAGTCCGGAATGTCTGGCCTCAGTCGGACTAAACTAGACAATACCTGGGGGACTGTTCGCGCGAAACCGGCGAAACCCTGCGAAGCTCTGGCGGTCTGAGGGCAAAGGACGCTCTGTGCTGGAACTGCACTTTCGAGTAGTCAGGCAGCTCCCGCACTTCTGGCCAATCTGCTTCATCAGGTGTACCGAGGGCCTGCCAGGGTTTGCGTGAGTGGAATGTGGCAGGAGAACTGAAACGCAGCTTCTCTTTGAGGTTTCACCTCATACTCTGTGCCTGGAAGATGAGGCACAATTGCTCAAGGTCACTGCCACCGGGGAAGAGCGCTACTGAGGAAAGCAGTTCTGCGAATGTGCAACCAACCGCCCAAAGGTCGACACCTTGCGGAATCGGAAATCTCACTCACTACTCACCACCGCGCGTTGGTTGTTCCTGCTCACGGCGGCCCCTCAACTCCCCACCAAGGCACCTAAGGAATAAGTCACGGAGCCGAAGAGCATCTCAGGTGATTTATACCAGCGAGTGCACACATCCCTCGTCATGAGCTGCTCTCCGAAGCTGCGCGAAGAAGTGCCCTGTAGGAACCTACCAATGCTGCCAGGTGAAAGATTTGACGGTGGACCGTGGCCCTAACAAAAGTTATATAAGGAAAGCGATTTTGGAACCTTGGGGCAAACATCAAAACGTTTGGTGTTTGATGTGCAACAGCGAGGATTGAGTTTTCACCATTCATCTGCTATCCATGCTGTCGCGTTGGGATTAGTGATTAGTGTGTCGCTGACAGGACAGTGGCAAATGACTATTTATCAGGAAACAACAATCTGTTTGGAAGATAAACCTGCACCATGCCTTTTGTGGCTTTGGTTGTAGTCGATTTCAACTTTCTGCAGAAGCCACCGTACCCCCCACGAACCTTGCAGAGCCAAAGTCCGCCACCTTGAGTTCCCCACTGGATCCATCCTTAGATCGTTCTCGATCCAGCGCGGCGTTGTGTTCGATCGAGAGTCCACAGCGTTGAAGCGATGACAACTAGTTTTCTGGGCAAAGGCTCAATCAGTAAGTTTGGAGGTTTCAAATCTCGATGCATTACGCCATGCTCATGCAAAAAGGCCACACCTTCCAGCAGCATGCGCAGCAAGACCTTGACACTTCCCTCGTTCAGCGGTTTTTTCCTCTCAAGCCTCAGTCTCACCCAGGCTGTATGACGCGACAAGTGGAACATGCGCAGCAGCTTGCCAACCTGAGCCCTGCACACAGTAGCCAAGTCCCAAGCTAGGTAAGGATAAATGAGAATGGCCATGGTGGCATCAGGTTCAACATGATGCTCAAGCAACTCGATGATGTTGCAGTGTTTCACGGTCTCGAGCACATCTCTTTCGCGTTCCGCGCTCTTGAACCATGGATCAAAGTCAAGGCCTGGCAAGTTCTTTCGAGCTCGAATCTTCTTGATAGCAACCTCCTGTCCAGTTGGCCGGTGACAGGCCGCGAACACTGTGCCAAAGCGCCCTTCTGCAATACGCCGTGTCACCTCACACAACATCTCAGCTGCAAATCTTTGAGAAAACCTGAAGAACCTTGAAATGTATGTATGTATGTATGTATGTATGGATGGATGGATGGATGGATGGATGGATGGATGCATGCATGCATGGATGGATGGATGGATTGATGGATGGATGCATGCATGCATGCATGGATGCATGGATGCATGGATGCATGGATGCATGGATGCATGGATGTATGTGTGTGTGTGTGTGTACACACACGCCCGGCGCACCAAATCTTCGACGGAAGTGGGCTCCGCTGAGCTCCACCATTTTAAGACTTTGAATGTGGAGTACTATCGGAGCTGCGTGCAATCACAACTCAAGGCAATCATTCCCTGGCATTCGCACGTGACATTCAAGCGTATATATATATATATAACCGGCTGAGCCAGCTGCCTGGTAATCCACCAGGGACATTCTCACCGTGTTGCTCCATGGCAAAATCCCGACTTGAACTGCAAACTCTGCGGTTGGAGAAGGAGCTTGCCTGAAACACCTGTGGCCTTGACTTGCCATCTGTGCCCGGCACAAGCACATGAGCCGCGTCAATCTTTACCTTGAGCTGCTCTTTGCCTCAAGCGGTGTAAGGAAGAAGGCTGGTGTCACAGTTCGGGTTCTTTGTCTATGTTCATATGTGATCGTCCCGTTTAACATCAATATCGATTTTTCGCGTCCGTTGCACTATGACACTTTGTTTGTTTGCGTCCGTCTTGGCGGCCAACCCACTGAGCTGTCCAAATCAAACTTTAGCGTGACCTGAACCAAGACGCTGAGCAAACAACAATCTGCCTTCTGAACAGGTCTTGGGATAGCCTCTGCATCACTCTGAGACCAACTAAACGCCATAGCTCCGTCACTTGAAGCCTTCCCTCTAAGAGCTTGAGAGAAAGAAAGAGGTACAGGTACAGCCACAGCAGCATGTGACTTGATTAGAAGAACTTGTGAAATCACAAAACCTCTATAAGCCCTCTCGCTTTTGCCATTCTCTTTGAAATCGCTGCCACTCAAGAGGCTTGCTTGGCAAGCACCAAGTGACAAGTGAGGACGCCAAACGGCTGAATCCTACCAGAGACTGCCCTTTTGACATTTGAGTTTTGCAAGCCCTCAAGATCGCGGGATATCACGATATATTTTTCTAAGCCCGATGGACAACTTGGAAAAGTGCCTACCCAACCCTGCTTGAAATTTTCTCTGGGACAGTCTTTCGGCATATGTGCACGAATTCCTAAACTTGGCAACTCCTAGTGTATGGGCAATACATCATTCTCATCATAGACATCCTTGGTTTCTGTGCCACAGTCTTGTCCGGAAAAACGAAGGACCAAAGGACACTTTCTTGGAGACGGCTTCATTCATAAGAAAAGGCCGAGGCTCACAGCAACACTGGCTGCACTGGCAACATCCGCTGGCAGACCGTGATGCCTGCATGCACAGGATGAAACAATCATATCCCAACCGCTACCTTCAAAGACGTGGTTGTGCTGTATTCAGGGTCAATTTGCGGATGGAGTGCGGGTTTTGCATGGACTGCCTGCAACTTGGAAACAAACGAAGCAAGGTGACTTGCCTTCAGTAACTTGAGAGGCTCTGTCTGCGTAGAACGGGTCATCCTCAGACCACACGCAGAACAAAATTAAACCAGCATAGACCCTGATAGCTAGGCAGCATCCCACGACCTGTTGACATGCGACTGGCTGGAACAAGAATGTGCACAGCCTGCACGCACAGCCAGCTTACGGCGCCTCCAGCGCGCGCAACCAGCTGACACCAGCACCGGTGCGCTTTGCCAGCTGAGATGGGGGCGGCACCAGCACCCGACCAGCACCGCCGCCCGTCTTAAAAACGCGCGCTCAGCCACCAGCACCCAGGACCCCAACACCAGCACCAGCACTGACACCCCTTCGAAAGCACGCGCAGCCAGCTCATTCTTATTAAATTTGCAGTAAGACCCCCATAGCTATCCCTAGTGCGCTCTTGCGCGTATAAGTTTATGCGCACAAAAGTATGCGCGCAAACAGCAAAGCCCGTAAGTGTCATTGGCCCAAGGCCAAGCAGTATCCAGCGCCACTATTGTAGCACGCTTGAAGCAACGATCTGTAGAACGATGAGGCAGTATGATCTTGCGCGTATAAGTTTATGCGCACAAAAGAGTGCGCACAAAGGGCAAAGCCCGTAGGCTTCACTCGCCCAAGGCCAAGCAGTATCCAGCACGACTATTTTGTGTGTAGCAGGCTGAAACATGCTGAAACAATGGTCGGTTGAGAGCCTGACGTTGCGCATAGAACAGTGTACGTACCTGGTACCGGCACCACCAACCTGTCTCCACCACGTGCACAGCCAGCTCACAGCACCAGCACCGGCACCCGGCACCCACCTTCGGCACCGGCACCAGCAACCTGTCTCCACCACGTGCACAGCCAGCTCACAGCACCAGCACCAGCACCGGCACCCAGCACCAGCACCAGCAACCTGTCTCGAAAGCGCGCACGGGCAACTCATTGTTATTTGAAGTAAGAACCCCATAGCTTCGCTATCTGGGGAAAAATCACTTGACTTCCAGGCCCGCGTTGCAGCTAAGCATCGTTGTTGGAGCACCAGGGCCACAGTAAAGCAGCCACGGCTTCGCTGGAGCGTTCAGATCTGCAGCAGGATCAGCGCCTCAAGCCCATCTCCAACTTCAGTGGCCCAGTGTCGCAAGAAATGACATAAAAGTAAAAGCATTGGACCATATTGGACCCAGATCTGCAAAGCATTCACAAGGCGCAGAGTCTAAGTGTAGAAAGAGTCAAGCGTTGTCAGGTACTAGAAGTAGCAGTGGCAGGAGCAGAGTACTGATTTTGCCAAGGAACTCTCAGGTGGCAATTCCATGCCTACAGCATCTTCCTCGAACTTTAGTCGAGCCTTTGCTCTCACTTTCTTGGGCTTTGTTCCTGCAGGCTTTGCCGTTCCTTCGCCTTTCTTGATGGCTGGCTTCAGCAGCTGCTTATTGTGTGAAGCTGATTCTGGCCTCAAGTCGGACATTTCGCCTCAGACCGGTCTATGGCAAGAGTACAAACCATCCAACCTTAAAGAACACCTCATGCTAGCTTTGAGCAGAAGGGAACAAGAAATACAAAAATCAGGAAACGGTCTGCAGGTTGCCAAGCCACGACTTGCACAGCCATCTGCATCACTCGCAGTCGCTGCTGACTTTTCGCTTTCACCTGAGAGCCTCCTTCCAAAGGCCGCCGGCCCACCGAAGGCCATGGTGGCAATCACTCTGGAGCGTGCCGACTTCCACATCTTCCCCCCCAGGACCTCAGCTTGTAAGCGCCAAACAGCCAAGAGGCATATGTGATCTAGTTTCAGCAAGTGCTGATTTTTGATTTCCTACATTTCACGATGTTCTTTTCTTTTGTAAATCCAACCCCTGATCTGGATCAGGATCGTCAAACATCTATATATGGAATCTGTTCAAACATTCTCTGTCTCTCTCTCTCTCTCTCACGGGCATGACTCTTCACTGAGCCATCTCACAAACGCCCAACTGCAACCGTTCAAACATTATTACAAAATCAACATTGGCTTTCTATCTTCCACGATGGTCGGCTTGTTTGCTAGGTGATGCGAAGTAAGCACAGGCACAAGGGCCACTGGCTCGGTGCCAGGTGCCAAGTATTGAATGCAAGTGCGTACGAAAAGGCAGAACAGGGGCCCCATAACACTAGCAGCAAGAGAATGGGAAATTGCAATAGTATATGACTTCAGCACCCACCTCCTAAGTCCAAGAACTGCGCCAAACAGGTGCTGACACTGAGCATCTGGCACTCGTTTCCGTGGTCTGAGCCGGCTTCAATTTGAAAGGAGCTGGGAGCTGTCCTGAAATGTTCGGTTTCAGAGGCTCGTTGCCGCAGCACACCACCACAAGCGTCCCATCTTTGAAAGGAGAGCTGCTCAATTGAATTGGAACTTCATGAAGGTGCCACTCACTTTTGCCAGGTTCCTCAACCGCAATCCATGCTGAGGTGACTTGGCGTTCGACACCACGACTGAGCCACTTCTTCATGCTATCCCACGTGAGCTTCCCAATGTGCTCGTTGCCACACTGAAAATATTTCGGGACTGGAAGTTTTCCTCGGGCACTATGTGTGAATAGTGCCAAATTTTTTGACACCAATTTTAGCAACTAGCAAAACTCACATTTTCAACCCATGTTCACAACCAAACCCGCAACAAATGTCGATGTTCTTGTCTTGCAGTTCAGTCTCTGGGTTCGCTGGGCGTGCGCTGGTCAGCCACCCAAACCCAGGGCATCTTCGGCATTTGTCCCAAAGAATTGCGTCTCTCGCCATTTGCCTCCGCTTTGCTTGCAGCAGCCACTGCAGCCGCAGCTGCGAGGGACATGACGGAGGCAGGACGACAAATCACAAACGAAATGTGAAAATTGGACAACGAAAATCTGGAGCAACCCATGCCAAACCAAAGTTGTTTTGCGTGCATTGATCTCTTGTTTGTCATGAGTATCTCCACTGGTCAAAAATCACAGGGGCACCTGCAATTGTTGCAGCCCCTTGTGCCAAACTGCGTGTGAACAATTAAGTCAAGTTGTATATCTCTACGATTTGCCTGACCCACGGTTGGTGCGCTGGAAGTCCCCTGTGTGAAAATTGGTTGTTTTGAATTTGCCTGGCCAAACCTCAGTCAACTAAAGCGTGCCCCCAAAAAAACGCAAAGATTTATGTGCGGCCTTAGCCGTGCAACCTTGTCTATGCCGGCCAATTAACGAGAGCGACCCCATTCAAATCGCACAACCACCGAAATTGGTCGTTTGACCGTGCGCTGGGCATCGCGAACCACAGCGTGGTTTGTCTCACTAAAACGCGCCCCTTTTCAAGGCTGCTTTTGAGCCACTACGCAAGCGGGTACACTTCTCATTTAAGTGCGCGCCATCCTATACGCAGGGGTCATGCTTGTTCGGACACCCCGCCTTGAAAATCAGTGGTTCTCACCGACTTTTCACCTTCAGTCCATCTCGTGAAACTTAGCTGGCTCTCTCACTCAGCTTCATGGCTTCATTGCATGCCATGCACGCTGATTGCACTCATCTTGCCAGCTCATTGAACTTGAGCGGGGAAACACGAAAGGTAGAGACGGACCGGGTAGCTGTCGGGACCTTTTCTGGTGAGGGACTGTCTCCGGTGTTTCAGGAACGTGCCCCTTGGTCATTCATGGATGAAACCAACAAAGCCAGAGAGCACAAGAAGGCTCAAGAGGAACACCGTCGCGGTCAGATTGCGCCACACGGCTCTGCAGAGAGGCTGCGTTGCGTCGACGCTCGTTTGTGTAAAGGTGTGTGAAAACAGGCGCGCGTAAAAGTCGCAATGCGTAAACGCTCGCATGTGTACCAGCTATGGTCCCACAGCTGTACGCACTGTGTCAGGATTACAGGCCTGCACGCGTTGCGTCGAAGCCGCAGTGACCAACCCC